TAAAACTACCCCGATATTTGCACATTTTTATAAGTTAGTAATTTAATCCCTCCAATCAACCATTTTTGGCTACAAAAATCCCAAGTAAGCACCTCAGCCAGTCCCTTAGAAATTGGGGAATGCGGGGGATACCTCGTGGAGTTGCTTATAAATTAACCCATTGGCGAAATGAAAATATTGTCTGTTAATTGATCAATGTGTATGCAGCGAGAGTGCAGTGGCTGCCGTGCCACTTGGCATGAACTCAGATGTTGCAGTGTGAGTGGTGATGCTAAAATTTAATTATATTCCGCTTTAGCTGCTGCACCAAATGTTCTGGGTTTTAGGCTTTATCAGCTGCACACACAGTAACACAGACCATGGCTCACACACACCAGCGTACTTTATGTCGTACGTGCAAATTTATTGTTATTGAAATACAATTGCGAAATTAACTGTCAAAGTGTGCGACCCATCGTCAATGTACTCGCAGTGGCATGCCATATGTTTCCCTTTACAGTTTGTGTGTGTGGGTAATGGGGGTTGTGGGGCAAATACCACCCCTTTATGCAAAGCCAACTTGTGGGTTAAAAATATGGTTAAAAGAGTCGCCAAAAGTACACGTTTTAAAGCAAAAATAATGACAAAACTATTACAACAAGAATAAATTACATTAGGAATATAATATAATAATAATACCTCACAAAAAAAACTGTATTAAATTCTTTCATTTTTTTTTTTAATTTCTTTTATACAAAACGTTTTCATATCAGTAAATATTTCCCAATTAACAAAGATTTTACTCATGATTAATGACAGTCTTATGCACTCGCAAGGGCTTTATTTTGAGCCCATTTCTTTGGCCAGCACCAAAAGTTGCCAATACCCTAAATCAGTGGCCAAAACTCGCCCCTTTCCCGTCGCAAAACCGCCCCAAAAACCCCCAACTGTTTGCGCTAAACGAGCTTTGCATATTTACTGTACTAGCAGCAGACATTTTACGATATATTGAGAATTATTCGCAATATATTTTGCAACGGGCAACAGCAGCAGCAACAAGGACGACAAATGTTCCACCGACGGCGGCAGCAACAACAAGTGCAGTGTGTTCGGTGTTCAGTGTTCAGTTTTCAGTGTTCAGTGTTCACTGTTCAGAGTTCAGTGGAAATGCAGGCAGAGAAAGCTTCTAATTCCGGCACTGAAACCATAAGTCTTTGTCGCATTGTACACACACACAAGCACACTCTCTCTCAAACACACACACACACAGATACTCGCAAATACACTGGCAAATGGAAAAGGACGAGGGGCAGACAGTGTTTGTATGTGAGGTCCTGGCGTTTCAGCAAGTACTGCTGGGTTAAAAGGAGGTCCTTTGGGATCCTAGGCCTGAAGTTGCGACCATTACTTAGGTTCGATACACAAGTTTCGCCTATAAATTCGAAACTTATTTTTCTGTTTTCAAAGATTTTGTTTAATTTAGGTAAATTTGCATAAGATACAATTGCACACCCTATACCATTTGTAGGATCTGCAGAAAGTCCCTGCCTCTTGCAGTCTCTAAATTTGTGCGAAAATTGAGCCAAAGTTCAGAGGCAAAGAAAAAGGAGCAACAAACGATTCTTTCGTTTCTGTTTTTTTTTTTTCGTTGGAGATTTTATTGCCTTGGCCTGGACTAAATTTGAATTCAGCTCAAATTGAAAGTTCACAACGCACACTTATATGTACACTTGTAGCCAGATCTGGCGGGGATACAAATATACACATATAGACGGGGAGACACACCGATATTTATGCCTTTTCGAATGCAGCTCAACTCAGCTTTAATTTAAATGGATTTCTCCATGCCGGCAACCCTGGCAGACATATGGCAGCATTTGCAATTTGCAGTCCGAGGGGGGTTAAAAGGGGCCAAAAGGGGGGTACAAATGGATGGGAGGTCGCACTCCCCGGACGGACGACTCCACTGACTGTTGAGGATTGATTGTGCTTGTTGATATTTTGTCAAATAACGCAAATAAATACACAATTACACACTCAAGTGAATCCGTTTGCGAGGATGGGGTGGTTCCGGGGGCTCTACGGGTTTATTTCTGGAGTCATGGGGTTAAACCGAGCATGGACGTGCTTTCTCCCTCTCTGTGTGTTATCCTCGTTTAAAGGATTTTCATTTGTTTAAATGTGCTTTATCGAAAATGGCCAAAAGGCCGCTGGCCATTGCCGTTGTTGTTGTTGCTTTAGCTCCTGTCCCTTGTTGCCACGTGAAATTTATTCGCAGCGGACAGTGGTTTCTAAAACAGTGGGGTAATTTAGAATTTTTAGAAATTTATTCGTATTCTCCTACTTTATTTAATTTTCTTAAAAGTGGAATGGGTTAATAGTATAATTTACAAAACATATAGATACAAAACTATGTATGTTGAACTGAAACCTTTTCTATTTTTTTTTTGGGTTGCAAATATCTCTGAAAATATTTAAAAGGCTCCCATATTTTATAGTCATTAACACACTGTTCGTTCTTTAAATGGCCCCACTGTATACCGACTTTTGACTTTGTCATTGTTTGTTTTTGCCTTCGTCGTTGTTTTTGTTGCTGGGGCTTTTTTCGGCGCACGCCCGTAAATTCCAATGTAAAATGTTGCATTTATCTTGTAAAAATAATAAATCCAGGCAAAGGGACTTTACTCTCTCACGCTTGGCAGCACATCCAGTAACAGATTGTGCCGCCCATCTAAGGGATGCAATCGGAAGGGTTCCGGATGGGGTGAGATTCGGTTTGGGTTTGGGTTTTGCCTTTGGGTTTGGGGATGGTCATTGTTAATGGCCGAATGGGTAAAGAGACGTAAATTTGGCTAATTTTATTAACCGTCAATACGGCAAAACAGACAGAGGGAATACAAGCGGGAAAAGTGGCAACAAAAAATTAGTCAACACTCGGCCATTAATTTAACTTATTTATTGGCTGCTGCGCAGTTATTCCAATTCGAAAATCCCGAACTGCTGGCGCGATAAATTTAGTCGAATGTGAAAATTGTGCTGCTGCATTGCATTTCCACTGCATTCACGTTCACATGCACATGTCGCGGATTTTCATTATAAAATATTGCAGATCGCGGGAGGAGGCGGGGGGACTGTCGCAAAAGAGTTTGCAATTTATTTTAAAATAAAAGTATCTAAAGGCATGACAAATAGTGTGAGATATGTTTTTGCGCACTGCAGCAGGCCGGTCCCCTTTCCCCTTCTCCACCCCAAAAAAAACCCCCTCCGATGCGGAGACATATGATGGGGCGCCGCTGATTTATTTGCATAAAACAGCGCAGCAGACACAGCAAAAGCAACAAAATTCCCTCGGCCTGATTCCTCCCCATGTTGCTTTTATTATTCTTTTTTTTTTTTTTTTTATTTCAAGCTACGCCCATTTTTGACGCCAACGGAGACGCGTCGATTGAGTTGGCTGCAGTTGCCAACTTTCGAGGGGGTGCACAAAGGTGGAGGGAAGGGGATTTCGGGGGGGCTGTGGGATGCCGACGGAGTTCATGAAAAATCCATTCAAAATCAAAAATCAAAATGCCAGCAAACTACAAAGAAGGTGTGAGTGTCAGTGTGGCAGAGAACATATTTTAAAATGGGTTTCATGGCACCTAAAACGATTATTTTTTGTGCGGCAGTAAAATAACACAAAGCTTGTTCAGCACAAAATTTTAAAATGTGTATTCTGATTCATAAAATGCTATCTTTTCTTTTTTTAATAAACATTATGCAAGGCTGACAAAATGTATTTAATTAAAAAAGGCATTTAAACCTCAAAAAAATAGTTAAAACTTTATGGATATCCAGATTAATATTTTAAAATTCAACAAGAATTTAAAAATAAATTACTTGCCAAGAAATTCAAACATTTTTCCTACAGACTTAAGCATTAAAATATTTCTCAATCTGGCTTAAAATTTCTTCTTCCACCCACACTTTCTTTCTACTGCTCAATTCATCATTTGGCAACATTTTGCCCAGCGCCAAGTTGCATTTAGTTGTTATTTATGCAAATTTTACATGCTTCAACTTTTCGCCAAGTGCGTCGTGTCGTTTTCGATTATTTAAAACTTTGTACGGAATTTACTAGATTGCGAGGGGGCCTGAAGGGGGGTCTGGAGGGTGGAAAAGGGGGTTTGGGGGGCAGGGAGATCTCCGTTTTAATGCGCACACCTGACGCGCTCCAACGTCTTCCGCCGGGAAGACTTTTACCTTGGGCCGGAGGATTAGGGTCTGCCCTCCGTGCATAATTTTGTGCGCTGCTGTTGAGGCAAATAAATTCTTGAGACGGCTAAAGTTATTAGATTAGCATTAGAGAGCGCTGGAAGATGGGACAACAGTCCCCGGGCTGAGCTTAGAATTATGATTTACCTGGGGTTATTTACATGAGCATAAACGAAATACCTACGGGCAGCCTCAAATTGCTAAAATTTATGAAAAACTTAACTCACGGCTCGGCGAGTCATGTGGCTTTTATAGTTCCTCAAACAGGCGCGGCAATTTAAACATTATTATTTCTTAAATTTTATAACAAAAAGTGGAAGTTTTCAACATACAGAACAAGATAAGTTTGCATAATTGTTATAATCCTATATATTGTGCCATGATGTTTATGTGTTGTGCGATTTCGTTGAAAAAATACATATGTTGCTGTCTTTTATGATTTATTGGCCTCTTTAATTGAAAAAGGTTTTCTTTTATCTGAAAAAATGTTCATTATTTTTTTGTTTATATGTTAACCACCGATACCTAAATTTTTTATTTAAAAACTAATTTATTTTAAGTTTTATTAACCATAAACTATTTTTGATATATATATTTTTATCTACTTTACTTTACTGTAAGACTTAATTTTTTTTAATTTCTTAACTTTGCTTTTGTACTCTTAATTGGTTCCCTTTTGTTTTTTATTATTTTTTACTAACATGTGAGGCACTTAAAGACCCATTGACCTTCATAACTAAACACCTTTTTCTCTCCATTTATTTCAGGTAAGAGATACTCAGAATCTCTTGCGGGCTCACTTCTACCAGACTGGCTAGGTAAGTCGATGTTTTTTATATTTTTTGTATACCCTTAGCTTATAGTTTTGCCTATGATTTATTTTGAATTTTTGTGAAAAGAAACCCATTTTGAATTTTCACAATTTTTATTCACTTTTTCGATATGCGTTGCAAAGCCATTTTTCGTTTTTTTTGTGGAAACTCTCTTTTGATTTTGAGAATGCCAGATCCCGAAACCCCAGACAAAAACAAATTTTTCGAATGCAACAGACACACAAAACCAAAAAAAGACGAAACCCGTCCAGTCTTTTCCATAACTCTTTCCAAACTCCAAAACCATTGAATCGAGCTTCTTTGAATTTTGCGTTGATTTTTTGCGTTTGGTTGTTGTTGCTGTCGTTGGTGTTGCAACATCATCGCATCACATCACCATCATCCCGATCCCATCCGTTTGTCTTCATTTCGTGTCAGTCAAGAGGAAGCGTCTCCTGCCAGAGTTCGAGAGGTAAAGCGACATGTTCAATTTCCAATAAATCTAGTAAGTTCTGTGTTGTGTGCATACCTACCTCAAACTTTACCCCTAGAACCAACCTACTGTACATAATCCAAACCAATCTATCTGTATCTCGGTGTCTGTCATAGTTCAGCATGTGCATGCCTTCCAAATAGCTGTTGGCCGGGCCAGAATAAGTTATGCAACTGTATGTACATATAATATGTGAAATTATCAGCTCATAAAATTTGCCCAAAATAATTGCCAATTATTCAGTTTGTCAACTCCGGCCAACAAACACACACACACACAAGTGCAACTACCAAAAACTACACTTCACACACACATACAGAGACACATTTCACTTGCTCTTGGTGTGCAATTAAAAGCCACCCACCACCCACCGCCCATCGAGGAAAATCGGGGAAAAGTATCACTTGGCACGCAAAGAAAATCAGCGAGAAAATTGGTGATGCCTAGCTGCGAATTTTACAAAGCGTATCATTTTGTTAGCAGTTTTTCAGCAGGCTGCACTTGACAAGAATCGCCCCGGGGCACGCCAGTCCAAGTGGCACTGTAGTGCAGTCGTACATAGGTACAGTGATACAGTAGTGCAGTGATACAGTGGTGCCTCCCCCGCACAGCCAATTAAGCACACATTTAATTTACTTGCCCGTTTAGGCACTCGAAAGGCTGTTAATTCCTGTTTTTAGTTATGTTAACCAAACACTCGACAGACGACGACGACAAACAACCGGCAAACCTCGGCAAATTTCCTATATGTTTATGGGCAATTTATACAATCGCATAAATTACCAGCACAAACATAAACAAAACTTCCTTCCACCGAGTGCCATTTGCCAATCGTAATCAATTCCTGTCCATAAAAAAAGGGACACAACCCGGAGAGTCCTGTCGCCGACAGCGACAACAACAACATTAACAACAACAACAAGTACGGTTTTCAAGTCGATATCTATATCCGTAGAGCCACCAAACCCAACCAACCAACCCCACGCATAAATATTTATCTGAATTGTTGAAATCTTCAACTGCAGAAAACGTAAAATCCATTAGAAAATTAATAAAGTCTATGGCGGGAAATGTATTCCTATGAATGCGGTTTTCCACTTTCTCCCTCTCCGTTTTCCCGCCTCATTTTTTGTCATATAGAGAAAATTTGTGGCTGTTTTTTGAGGGGCCAAATGTATATTATGCCGACGCTAATAGAATAAAGTCCAATCGATTACAATAATGCTTCTTTGTCTGGATAATGTTTCTGTCTGTTTTCCGATGGGAGGAGTTTCTGGAGCGGTTGTTTTTCAGCCTTTTAAGGATATAATCCATTAGACCAGTTTCACGCAGATGGAATAGGGGATGGGCTATAAGGATGTTTACGTTTACATTTATAAATGAGAGGTAATATTTTATAAATTATTGTAGAATACTACATGCAATGATATAAAGCAATTTAAAAACTTAAACAATTTAACTAAAAAAATGTATTGTTTACAGAATTAGTAGTCTTTTGTTTCTAATAAAATAATTTAAACCTTTTCCTCATCACATAATACTTGATCATTAGCTTTGATTTCCTACCAGCATACAGAGACTTTAAAGTTATGCTTGCAAACCTAACATATTTTATTCAATTTATCCAAATAGTTGTATTCAAAAATGTTTTGATAACAATGCTAAACAACGTAATCATTACGTTGATCTAAAACCCCACCTGCCTTAAAACAATTTCCCATTCAAAACTCTCAGCTAAGATCGATTATATTGTAGATTCGTAGAAGAGATACGTTTTCATTCCCAATAACTAAGCAAATATACAAGATTTGTACACGAGATATGTAAATTTCCCCGCGATCGTTTTGTTGGCCAGATGTTTGCACACACTTTGGAGTTGGCTTCATTATCATTCGGGCGGGGTCTATTTATAAACGGGGGAACATGAATGGAGCATGAATGTCTCGACGAGATCGACGCGTCGGCGCCCCACTTCGCCCCTCAACGAATCCAAATGGCACGCAATTCACAATAATAACATAATAATGTGCAATAAAGTATCTTAATTTGTTGAATTGTTGATAAACTTTGGCGCCACTTTGCGGATAAACATGAAACGAAGCAATTGGAAAATTCTGGCCCCCTTTTCCCATCCCACGAACTGTACCATTTGGTGAACGTAATCACAAATAGATATTTGGCAGGTTGGAAATACTTTTGAGCTTGTTTATCCCATACCAAATTCTCAACGACAATCTGAAAGTTCTCCCCCAGCCATTTCCGGTATTTCGATCCACTTTGCTCCATTGCAATTATCAGTTCGCTTGACTTCTGACATCGCAGGTGAGCGGGGCAAGTAAACACCGAGATGGGAACAAATTCCAACTGCAACAAGTTGAATTATCTGCAAGTGGCCCACGTGCATGTGTGTACGAGTGTGTGTCTATGTATGTGCAACGTGGGCCAGTGTATTTGTGTGAGTGCACTTCCCTATCTGGTCGTTCGCCGTGTCCTCTTAATTGCCCCTGCGAGAGAAACTCGGCAAATTAGTTAATTGGCGGCCAGTTCACTTTGAACCGCTCCTCGGCCACTGGTCGAGAATGTATCTCAACGATGTGAAGATACTTCCGAAGGTATCTTTAAGATATATTTCACGTCTGAGTTCTCCTGGGAGCTATGCTTAGCTGACTTGATAAATAATATTCTTTAGTATTTAATTGAGAACAGAACAAAACCAGCATTAAATATCAAAATATATATTCAGATTTTATCTTAAAAAAAGTGTTATTTTTGTTTTATAACTTTTTGTGGAACTTATTAGCCAACCCTCGCTGTTCAAGATCCGTTTTCTTTAGGTCAAATACAAAGATTTGCCATCCGCCATTAAATTATTAGGCAGAGTTCCTTTTATTTCTTTCTTGAAGTGCTTTTTGATTCTGCCGCATTCTAACCGTATTATTATTAGAAGTTAATATACTTGTTTATATATTTTTGTAGGTATACATGTGTATTTTTTCTGACACCGGTTATTTTTATTGTTTACCTCACTTTGTCAAGAGTAATTACCGGTTATAGTCGATCCTTCTTTAATGATCAAAGTTCAAGATACTCTTCAAAAATTTAAAAGGCTTTCAAAACCTTTTTTAAAACAGTTTTTGTAATTTTTAATATGTGCAATTGATTCAAAGATCAACGAACTCAAGCGCGTTACTTTTATGTTAGGGAATTAACCATTCGTTAATAATGTTATAATGTTAATTTAATTTCAATATTTTAACCATTCAAATTCGTTAGGCTTCCGATTAATGATTAATGGCCTGCGGATTTGAATAACAATTTCTGGCATTAACAACGAAATTAGTATTTGTGTGCCGGGGAGTCCGCCACTCGATTCGCACGCAATTAAAACACTCGAGTCGTCAGGTGAGCAGAAGTACAATAAAACCAAGTGGCAGCTCGCCTTTTATCGATTTTCGGTGGCCATTAGATTTCGCACAGTTACCCATATTTTCCGCCATTCGGAAAACTCCCCCAAATGGGAAACGCCAGCATTCTGGATTCAGCTCCACCTCCGCCGCAAGGCAATGTGGCAGATATTTCTCCTGTTCTTTTGCCAGCTCAGCAGATGAATGCGTATAATTTTCGGTTTGATTTATGGCCGTTGACCCCGCTTTGGGCCACCTTAGTGGCACTGGCACACATGGCCAACCTCAGAGCTCAGACCTCAGATTTTCTATAGCTTCTGATGCTGCCACTGCGGCTTTATCGCTGCGAATGCTAAACGCAGGCCATCCATTTGGGATCTTTTCGGGTGCTTTTTTTCTGGGGGGGCGGGCTTTATTACATTAGGCGTTCGTAAAGTAAAAATTGTGCCACTTTCTCAAAAACACGCACAGCACAATAAGTGGGTGTGTATGCCACTGGCGTTCAACCTGCTGTGGCAAACTGCCGAAAAAAAGGCATCCGGAAAATGCCAGAAGATACGGGGGTTACTACGGAATCGGGGGCCCAAATGTGCTTCGCTGTACGCTTTTGTTTGGGCCCACTGCCTTTGCCTTTCGCCTTTTCCCTTTGCCTTTGCCCTTACACTCGCTTACATAATCAGTCATGTTATCCTTGTTTCGCCGAACGCCACCCAAACACATTAGGATACACAATGCGACGGAGACATGGAAAAAATAATTTATTTATGTCGCTGGCCTCCGGCAGATATCTTTTTTATATTTCCATTGCGTGCGGCGAGGGTTGATTCAAAATCGGTCAACTAATGTGCTGTTATTGCGGGACATGCTGAGGAATGCGCATTTTATTTCTTTAAATAGGTGCCTTAGATTTGGGAGGGAATCAAAAATCTTGGTATTGAATTTAGAATTGCTTTATAGATGCTAAGGAATTTAAACTACCCTGCATGCCGTGTCATGTATCATTTGGGGGATAACTCACCCTATAAACAGGTTTTTTAGGGGATGGCAACCATTACTCGTGTGTATGGGCATCTCTTTTTATCATTGGGAAAAACATCTTATGGAGATAG